ACAATTGGTGGCATCCTAATGGACCTCATGCACTGGTCTTGCTCTTTTGAGCATTGGTTCTTAATTTATTGTTCATTATGACAAATGTGGTTAAATATGTGAGTGATTTCTTTGTTCCTGAGCGGTATCTTGAATTGCTAATAAAATATGGTATCATTTGCTTATTAGGATGTATTTGATCCATGCCCTCCTGATTCCATTACGACCGAGGCAGATAGAGATGAGCTTTCTTGTGCTGAATGTATGCACTGGTTATGGCAAGGTTATTTGTCATTGCAAAGAGAAACTGAAATAAGCCATTTGCCCTTTATGTATCTATAGCCAACTTAAAATTGTCTGTATGGAATCCTGCTGACTGAGAGATCATCTGTCTCTAGCTATGATAAACTAATCTTTACTTGAACTTGCACTCACAGTTCTTGTAAGGTCTGCAGAGGAGTTGCCTTTCTTGGGTTGCTGTTGCATATTAGTAGGATGATACTCGCATCTTGGTTTCATTTTAATTCTGGCTGGAGTTTGGGATGATAGTTCCCAGAATTTCACTGCAGGCTTCACTTGGTCATTGACAACATAGCCAGTGTTCTAAAGGCCATCATTATATGTAACATCAAGGTAATAAAACAATGCTATCTGACTCTCTTACACGTGCAGTATAGTTTCATTGTTCTTGCTCTATTTGGGTTTTTGTTATATTCACAACATATTGAAATTGTGCAGTGACTAACCAACAGCCTACAAGCTGTCACCACTTTTTCATTTAATGACTATGGTACAGAACAGCTCTAATGGCTTGTGTGTTTATTAGAGAGGCTACATTGTTTAAAGACAGGTACACACCAGCATGAAATTCAGAAGCGCACGCCACATAGTGTCCATGATAATGCCAGAGATGCTAGTAATATTTTCCATGGCATAACTTTTTGGATTCTCTGAACAGGTCTCCAGTATTTTTTACCCTAGGTACCAGATTGTAAGGCTGCATTTCTCCTTGCAAGACCCCCAGTGTTGAAATAATAATTCAAACTGGAGTTTAATGAGACGTGCTTTCTCCAGCAGTTACAGCAACACCTATGCTATCCCACACCACTGACGTTCATCTAAGTGTGTCACTTCTTCTCTGCATGAGAAGGGACTTCTAGGCCTGTGCACTGTTATGATTTCACCAAGTGGATAGGTCTTCCTTCCTTTCTTTCTTTCTTAGTATCCATAGCCCTTCACAGGTGGCTTTTTGTGTCCTCTTTTTTTCTTGTTTCCTCATGTCTCCCTTCTTTAGCTGCTTTGTCTGTGCCATGCACCATCCTGCCCTCTCTTCAGCCTCCCTAGTCCTTTGCCTCCCTTCTTTTTAGATGATTTTTGTAGTGTTTAATGTGGTAGTTGTTGCCAGCACCAGCCAACTGGGCCTCCCTACTGCTCTGCTGAGTCAGCCATTTCAGATACAATAGTTGTATTGCTGGCAGAGGTCCCCAATGCTGCTGCTCCTATAGCCACTTGCAGAACATTTTCCTCTTTGCGAAGCAGTGATCCCCTTACAAGACGAGGGTGTCGTAGCTAGGCGATGCATGCTTTTCTCTTTCGCCTTACCCTGTGGCTTCCAAAATAAACAGCAGCATTTGGAAGAAATTGAGTGTTTGCAGCACTCCAGAACAGTGTGAAGTGAATCCCTTTGGAGTGGCACTTGTACTATGCTGGGCTCTTCATTTAGGGCTGGCTATCTTAAACAGGAATTAAACATTATTTTAAAATGTAATTGACTTGCCAATTTAAAAATAACGAGGCTGACAACAAATTGCATGGCCAGAGTGAGCAGTACGCTAGATCCTTCAGTTTATAAAGGGTCATGAGGTAGCTACACTGTCTTAATGATCTTCATTATGCTGTGAGGAGATTTCCAGTGGCACAAAGGACACTGATATTCAGTGAGAGATGGGCACATAGCTTCCAGTTTTACCTTTGAAAATGTCCCCCTTGTATATATGGTTATAAGCAAAATCTCTTTAGAATTTGTGTAGAATTTCTTTTGCTAAAAGAAAGTTCTCCCTGTGTCAGAACTTTAAACATATTTGCGATAGGATTACAATAGGCACGCATTTCTCACATCCTCCCCAGGATTACAATAGGCACACATTTCTCGCATCCACAATGCCAGATCCTGTCCTCTTTAGAGAATTTGAAGTGGAAAAAGAGAATAACAAACATTTACATTTTAGATTGATCAAAACCTAAATTCTTACTGCTGGAAACTGCAAGTTAAATAGATGAAAGAGTTGTTAACTGATGTTGTTATAATTATGGTCTTATGCTTGAGCAAATCTATTACTTTCACAAAACACCTGCACCTCCTAGAATTTCCCCTTTGCACAATGTCACCTGTCAGTGACAGCAGAGCTGATTAGCTGTATAATTTACAATTGACTACATCTGTCAAGAAGACAGTCCTGTAATCCAGCTTTTCTTTTTGTAATGAAGCTGAGGATGGGGTTAAGTAGTATGAGTTTTCACTCTCCTTCAGGTCATGGAGGATAACTGGTACTAATGGGATCTAAGCCGGAAAACTCACGTCTTGACCTGGATGATTAAAGTAGGTTTGTTGGGATTTTTTTTTATCGTCCAGCAAAAGTAGAGCCTGAATTGGCTCTACAGAAGCCAAAAGGTCTATCAACCAGGCCACCTAACTAAATCATTACTACTTGGGGGAAGAGAGTGTGTTAACATTATACCAGGCTTCCCTCTGCTTCCATGTTTGTGTGTAGGGATAGGAGATCATTTCAATTGAATGGGGCGGAGTTTGTGTCATATTGCAAATGTGGTGTCATAGTGCCAAATGTTGTATAAAATGGAGCAAAATTAACTTCTATTTGATAGTGGTTTGCTCCTTGCAAAGAGTTCTTATCCTGTGTGATCTTTGTGGGAGCCTCAGAAGTTTTATAGGCTATAAAAGAGTAAGTTGGTGGTTCTCCTTTCAAATGTTTTGAAATGAAGGATTAAATGAAAGCCAAATCTTCTTCAGGGTTTTCTCTGATCACCGAGTAAATGTGTATAGACACACATGCTACTCTCTGTAGAGAACTCCATGTCCTGTTCACATTGGGGCCCTGGCCATGTCAGTTACAAACATAGTGAGCCAGAGCCTTTATCAAGCATTTGTAATTGGGTTCTCAGGGCAAATCCCTGTTTACACTGGTCAAGGAGTCTGTTAGAATCCTACTTGTGACACCATTTGTTACTGACACTGTAGCTACCCACTCTCTGATCCCAATAATAAATAGAGCCTTACACCTATAGCTTCACTAATAATAATGGGGGCGTGGCATTCGTGTGTCCAGAAGAGAATAGTTCATTTGGCGCTGTGTAGCATTTGTAGTGTCTACGTTTTCTAGATCACCTGTCTCTAGTTGTAGTGATCTGTGGCATTGTGACTCTGTCCTTTACAAAGTGAGGTAGTAACTATTTTACTTATATGCAAAGTTGTTACAAGGGGACATCATATTGGGCAAAAATACCAATTCCTTGCCAAATATGACTAATAGGTTTTCCCACTTTCCAAATTCCTGTGCGCCTCAGCTCTCCTTTTGACACTCGCCCACCAGTTCTGTTCAGTCCCTTCAGTCCCCACACACTTTTGCAGTGCTTGTGCCTGAGCTCTGAGAACAAACATAGGCTTGGCCATGTTTAAGGGCTGATCTGCACTGGGGGGGGTCGATGTAAGATACGCAACGGCAGCGCTGGGAAGTCCTGAGTGTAGCCAAGGCCTAAGGTGCCACAAGTACTCCTGTTCTTTTTGCAGAAACAGACTAACATGGCTGCTACTCTGAAACCAACCGTTAAGGAGTATGTTACATCAGCCTAGCCTGGGAGACAGCAAAGGTGTGGAGTACATACATCTTTGTAGTTAACACTTTCTCTCCCTACATACTGCAGTGATTGGGGTCCCTTAAATACCTGTGAGAGTGAATCAGCTGAAGTTTATACTGCTAAGATAAGATAAGACATGAATCATTATCCAGAACTTTGGTCCAGTGTCACTTAAAAAACTCATTCCCATCTCCTCTAGTAATGCTGCACTGGCTGCTACTTTGCTTATTGTGTTAAGATTGAGACGTAACACAGCCACCAATAGTTCAGATTCCTAAACTGAAGGATTTGGGGGAATTGAAACCAAAACGAGCTCTTAAAGGGGGAGTTCTGTCTTTCAGGCATTCTGCTGTCTAGTATAGACTCTAAACTCTTTCCAGATGAAAAGCCCTGAATATATTTTTATATGAGCATGAAAAGAATTCAGCATTAATTTTACATCAACATAATTTTATCATTCTTTGTTACTGCCATTTTTGAAATGTAATAAATGTATTTACTCGCTATGCTGAGAATTTGTAGATTTAAATGTGGAGGAAATTTGTGCCCTTATGGCAGATGCACAGCAGACTTCAGCATTAACATAACTCATTAAAATAAGATAAAAGTAGAGCTTCAAAACAATCTCTGTCTTTTGCCAACAAGCCTGTGAAAAAGGAAAATTTCATTCAATTCAGGATATGAAAGTCTTATCTTTCTGAACTGTGGAGATAACACAAAGCAGAAATTACAGACTTGTTTGTGCAGGTTAACTCTCTGGGTCTGTTCAAAGCAAGTTTTGAGGTATTTGAGGATTTGAATACACAAAACTAGAGAAGTTTTTCTATGTCAATTTCTTGAGGTATTAAATCAGAAGGTACCTTTTGGGTGAATGAAAGCCCCCCAGTCAATCATAGCAAAATGTGCAGAGAGCAAATGGGTTTTATCTTGACTGTACACAATTTTCGTACATTATCTCTAACATGATTAAAGGCAGCTCTGTCCCTTCTCGCTCGCTCTCATGTGTGAACTGAGAGAAAAGAACTGTAGTTTATCCAACTTCATATCAGACTTGTCTTTAATTTTTTTTGAAGGGAAATAGAATAAAATGCAAACTCAGTTATTCAAGCAAAGCTTTTTCAGTGTTTCCAATGCTCTGAACTTTACAGGAGGAGCCAATCACTTTTTGTGAAGAAACGTTTGTGTCTCATCGTTCTACTGCCATGAGGCAGTTTCTTCAGAATGCTATTCAGCTCCAGCTCTTTAAGCAGGTATTGTTTTAATTGCTTCAGCATGGTGGTAGCTTATTTCACAAAAGAACTGTTTTTCTTATAAACACTATTCCTATGTTCTTTGATCTACACTCACCACGTACTCAGAAAAATTAGTTCCTTCATTCAGTAATTAAGATATATATCACTCCTTCAACAGTAACTTAATTTTTATTTTCTGGCATGGATTAAACCCAATTTAAAACAATTTCTGTGTTTTAATAGCTATAATTTATGTTCACCTCCCATTGACGTCCATAGCAAAATTCCCATTGGCTTCAGTTTGAGCTGATGTATCTGAAACCTTCAGTGTATAAACTAGGGTATTACTGTGCCATTTCAAGAAGGCCAAAAACCATATCGTTGACTGCTCTTTGAAATAAAGAATCGTCATACTGGTTGGCAAAGTGATATTCCTTTCTCCATTCTACCTATTTAAAGGCTGTCTCCCCCACAAAGATTTTGGAACTTTGTCCTTCTGGAGAAAGTACAGAATAATCTTTTGAAGTGCAGTACAATTGAATGCTCTATCTGTTCACACATTTTTATTATACTTCCCCTGTTTTAAAGTTTATTGATGGACGCCTTGATCGTCTCAACTCTGGAGAGGGCTTCAGTGATGTTTTTGAAGAAGAGATAAATATGGGAGAATATGCTGGTAAGAAATATCTGTTCATTCCACTGATTTTGGATAGTATCCCATACCTTATACTTTGTGATTTAATAGGTCAGAGAAATCACTCGCCTGAGTAATTGTAGCAGCTTCAGTCTCTATGGGTTGAAGTGTGTTGATGGATACTGTCCTTTTTTCTCTGGAGATCTCAATCCCAACTTGGATAAATAAATATATCCTTCATTGTCTATTTGGCATTACAAATCCCTGCCTTATTCTGAGTAGTACTGTCTGGTTAGATGGCTAACACAAGACTAGAACGGGTCTTGCATGTCAGAATTTAAAAACTTTGGATTTAACCATTGACACCTTCTCTTTCTTTTCATGACCATTAAAAAAAATCATTAACTTTCTCAAATGTATATGAGAAAATCCAGGAAAAATAGTAATTCCACTTACTCACCTTTCTTTCTCCCACTGGCTACCTTGTTAATTTTTGGTTTTTCTGTTCCCAGAAGGGGAAAAGGGTAAACATCTTCTTCTAAATTATCTATACTTTACTACCACTAGGCACAGTTGAACGCCAGCATTTCTCATTTGTATCCCGTTTTCTTATCAATAAAGAATTTTTCTCTATATCACCAGGCAGTGACAGACTGTACCACCAGTGGCTCTCTACAGTAAGGGTAAGAATACAGTATTCGAATCATTGTCGTTCTTATTGGAAAATTCAGTTATTGCACCACGATTAAACTTCACTGGCGTGAGCAAGATCAGCTTCTATCCCACAATATTTAGTTGAGACCAGATAAAACTAACCTAGCTAAAAGATAACGTGCTCTTAATATAGAGTGAAGAACAAAAGGGAAAACATAGTAAGAAAAAAAAATAGGAAAACTGAGTTTATATTTCTCATATTTTTCAACCCTGATTTTCCATATGAAAGGCATGTAGATATATACTGTTGCCTAGTCTGAACATAGTTCTTTTTTTTTCTTTTTAATATTATTGTGGAAACCTAAGCCACAGTGAAAAGCTGTTCACAGAGCTGAACAATGTGAAGTACTGAATAGGGGACAGCATTCTTTGTTTGTAGTCTAATATAGGCTGCAAATGAGTTTATCTGTGTCTGCTTAGACTAATGCTCTATTTAATTGATATAAATTAAATATACTATATAAATATTTATAAATAACTTGTCACTTTGTGAATAATAAGTGATGATTTTAGATTAATAATTGGGATCTGACTTTAAAGAGTCCCTCCCACCATAAGTGATGCAGTAAAATTATCCATAGTTAAGGCTGTGTGTGACTGGAAAATAATTAATTATTTAGGGAGCACTCACCTTTTAAAATATATTATCCCATTTTTCTCTAGTCCTGATTATGAGTATAATTCTCTAATGCACAAACAGCTAGGCTGAAAATGATCTTGATCTTTGTGCATTAAATACATTTAAAATACCAATAACGCTTTAAAAATTATCATACTTGTTTATATATATGTAGGATGCAAAACGTTGAAAGGAGAAGAGAGGATTGGAGTCAATGAATATAAAATCCAAGTAGTTGTGTTCAGTAGTTTACAATTTTTTTTGTTAAAGTAAGATAAATACTGTGTAATATCATAATAAATATTACAATACATTGAAGCAAAATTTGGCATACTTCTGAAAAAATAATTTTATGTTAGGATAAACGATCATGGAATTATATGGGATTTTATTCCATGGATTTTACCCATCTGCTCTTCACACAAGATTTATTTATCAAATAACGTACTATGCAGCAAGAGTCAATGGTGTGCAGAAGATAAACAAAACACTAACTAGCCTAATAGATTATTCTGTCTGACATATCACAGCCTTATATGCCTTTTAGTGTGTCCCCTACATGCAGTTCAGCTTTTCTGGAATTATGCTAAAATTGTAGTTGGATTTCATGTTGTCTCAATTCTTCCCTTATCCCAGTATTTAGATATTAAGAAAGGCAGCATACCTGATATACAGAATCTTTAAGAAAGAAAACAAGGGCATGAAAAGGAAAGTGCACTGCAGAGAATAGGGTTTTTTCAATGAATGTACAAGTCTTTCCCGTTGAGCTGCTAGGGTATTTTAGTATTAAACATGTTTATGACTTGAATGCAATGTGCAGGATACCCTTGAGGGTGATAAGAATTGTTATGGACACTGTTTAGTGAGAGGACCTCTGAAGAAGCCTGGATATGGTAAAGGGAGTGATTTTTATTATGAGAAACTGAAACCTTTATATTGCAAATTTCTGTCCTAAAACATGATTTTAAATGGATCAGATTTGCCCTGGAAAAAGTAGTATCTAATCCTTGGTGAGAGAGTGGAATTATGTAACCACAAATAAAAATAAATTACCACTTAGGCATATTGCTCTGATATCTAACACAATTGATACTTTCTGTTATTTCCTGTTTAAAATAATAGCTCTGGGCTGACATTTGCTTAAACAGCCTCAATTAAAATGATTCCATTGTTACTGTAATTCCAGAAAGGAAGTGGAGCCATTATAAATACAGTAAAGACCAAGGCTAACCCGGCCATGAAGACTGTCTATAAGTTTGTAAGTATTGGGTATTGTCTTATGGCCCAGACAACTGAATCTAACTATGATGCTGTTTTAAATGAATCCATAGATTAAATTTTTTTCTGTATACTAACAAAATTATTTGAACAAGATAAATGCATATTAACCATAAAGTTCTAGAGACTAGGCCATTAAGCATGTATCAGGAAATGTTTTTAATTTCTAGGAAAATATTTTCTCTTCAACTGAAATACCAGTTTGAAACATTGTATACTAATTACACTGTAACAGAAAATGAGATTGACTGGTGATTTATCTTCAAAGTGCAGACGTTGCTTTCCTATTTAGTAAATAGCACTATTTCCATGGACCGGTCCCTATATCCTGTACTAAACACCTCTCCTATCTCATCATTACACTGTTGGAAATCCATTGTTACCCCTGGGCCTCTGCGAGTAGCTACATGGAAATGAGGGAATCCTCTCATTTGGCCAATTGTTCCAGTTTTTGTAAATGTCTATTATTTTTCCCCAGAGATTTTTCATACCTGCTTATTTTGAGCCAAGCTTCTTGGGTTGTTTTCTAAATGAAAATCTTTCCGTGCTTGGTTAACAAACAGCTAATAACTGTTATTGTAACATGGTTTATAACTGATAATTTCACTGCAGAGGGCTAAAATATATGGAAGCAAGTCAGGATCTCTTCAATACTGAATTCTATGAAATATGACAAAAAGCAGTGAGATGTCTATTCAAACTATCCTTTATTGCCTGCCTCCAGCCTGACAAAGGTCCTGAGATTTAGGTCCTGCCCTAGTAAAATGTAACTGGTATTCAAAGCACTGCAGTGAGGAAGCTTACAGCTGTGCTATTACTAGTAATTGTCACCATGCAGCAGAGATAAATAATTAGAGAGAGGAAAAATCATGGAGGAGGAACGGGGGGGTGGGGGAACAAAAATCCCTGCCATCAAAACAGAGAAAACAAAATCTTTGCAGTATCATTAAAGGTTTTTTAACCTCTTAGGTTTGTATTTGTTTTTATAGCCATTATGTTTTCAACTTGATGATCCAATTTTTCCTTCCTATTTTCAATAATCAGAGAAGGTGAGTCTTGATGGATTTAAATCGAGCACAGTCGCTGCTGGAAATAGAAAGGGATTTTTAACTTAAATTAATTTTTCATGCAGGCAAAAGATCATGCAAAAATGGGAATAAAAGAGGTGAAAAACCGCTTGAAGCAAAAGGTACTTGAAGTTCTTATTCAAAATGTATAAGCGCTATGTATGAAATACTTAGCCACAAAAAGCATTATGTGATCAATAGAAAGCTGTTTGATACAGTGTTGTTAGCACACTTCAAAATGCATTACCAGCTGTCCTGGATTTTTCACACTGTTATAAATATTCACAGACAAAAAACTATCTTCAAATACATTAAGGCTCTGACTTAAACCCACGAAAGCCAGAAAATTGAGTGTTCCATTTATGACGGTCCCTCGCCTGCCCATTGTGCCAAGACATTGTGGGAGGGGGCTTTGCATAAAATGGCTGATCATGCCTACAGTAATGACAGTGAACTTTGCTCCAAATGGCCGTTATGTTCCTCTGGTAACTTCTCAGGGGAAATAACCGAAGGTCTCTCATTGGACACATGGTTAGCACATGTCATCAGTGTGAAGTTTAGGCACAGTGGTGTAGAACTAGGGTTGAAGTAATTTTTAAATCTGAATTTCTTGCAGTTTTAAGTTTGCCAGCACTTTGGCCTTATGATGATGACATTTTATTGTCTCTGAATTTCATTCTTTTTTGTGTTTAAACAGTAAAATTCAGGGAATGCTAAATTGTGTCTGAGCAGTGTGTATCCAATATTAATTGCTACTTTTGAGGCTGTTGGGGTAGTCATATAGATACATACTATAGGGATGATTCTGCCTTTAGGTTTCTTCTAGTTATTCTATTTAGTCTATAGATCAGAGCCATTACAGTCTATTGGGAATACAAGGTAGCCAATTTAGTAACTGCAAAGGTCTCACTCAGAATGTTTTTCTGATTTACTGCATTTTACACAACTGCTGATTTTTAAAATCGATATTTCAGTAATTTAATTCGTTGTTCTCAGAATACCCAAAGCAATGTTAAGGCTGTGTCAGATGGATATATCTATTTTAAATATTAATGGAAAAGTTCCTTCTCTGCCTAAACTTTTCAACTTATCAGTACTGAGGGGTAATAATACCACCAAGTAATAATAATAAACTCATGAAATAAGGCCAGTGTAATGCAAGGACCAGTAGACTATTAACTACAGTGTTGGGCACGTTGGTGGAGATTTGGTTCAGCTGATTTAAAATAACCTCATATTTACTTGTTACCGCATATCAGGTAACTGATAGTATAATTTGATCACAGATAGAAAACAGGAGGCAGTTTTTCTGCATGCAGCATTTTCCTATGCAATAGTTAACTCCATGTATTTTAGTTTCTGAACATAATCTAATAACTAGTGAAATTTGTTTCCCCTGTCCCCAACACATGCATCTATAGAGCAAACAGCACTAAGTACAATCACTGAATTTTACTGTACCCTTTTTTATTGCTAGTATTATATTGTGCTCTGTGACATTTATATACAAAAGGGTCAGACACTTTCCAATTTATGAGATGTCTGTTATTCATTCGTTTATTTAGCTTTATTTTTGCTCCTTCCCTAGTACTCCAGATACCTTCGTTCATTTTTAAAAACACAAACAACATTTAAAATTGAGTGGATCAAAATCTTCCCCCAAAACACTCGCACTCAATCCTCCTCCATTCAACCTGTTAGATCCCATTTGGACTAAAAATGCATTTTTCTTACTATTTAGCATTTCTGCAAATAAGATTGCATTGTTAATCTTATACTTTAAAAGAATCATTATAAAATATTCATGTAAATACTCAAGACTTAGAATTTCTACCTCTCTCCCTTTCAAATCACTCTGATCTTTTTTGCTTTTACCCACCCCTTCTTCTTTTCAAGCACAACATCAGGAGATAATGTTAGAATGAGGTGTTAGTGTGTTTTAGGTGACAAAAATGGTGAAACCTATTTCACTAACCATCATACTTTTTTTAATGGAAATGTGTCTGCACCGCTCAACTGTTGACAGATCCATTAGTGCACGCTTATCAATTTTCACTTGCTTTTACCAATTTCTGGAGAGTTTAATCTTTTTCATGTGCTTGCTAATGACAGAGTTATTTTGTAACTGAAATTCTGGCTTCATTAAATACATATGTAATTGTGCTGATCTTGGGTGATACTCTACCATTTTCTGGAGTAATTTAAAACTATTCTTAATCTGACCTCACTGCCTACTGCAACTTAAAATATTATTTTCCAGTATTAGTGTGAAAAGCGTGCAGGCTACTGGTAAGGAAAAGTCAAATCTAAACATCCCTCTTTCAGTTCTCACTGCCAAATAGGAGCGGATTCTATACAATGATAGAATTTAAAAATGCAGTAGAGCTGGAGGTCTGCTTCCTACAACTCTGCATAGCAATGATGACCTCTTAAATATAATCAAGAGCCCATTTTGCCCTTGGTCTGCTCCAGCTTTGGGTTTGAATTGCAAATGGGAAATGTGGGATTGACCTATTGAGAGGTCATTGTGGTGTGTGTAAGGTCCTTCTTTAATATGATCGTGGAGATTGAATGGGGCTCTATTCCCATCCCTTGTTCATTTGTGGTACAGTATTTCAAAGCAACAGAAATAGTTTTCAGAGGATCCTTATGACTGATAGCAAATAATTGTTAACAGATACAGGATGGTAGCTTTATTTTATACCTGCTACACATTTTTTTTTAAAGTAAAGGCAAATTTTTTCATTTCCCAAATGGAGCAAGGTGGTCAAGTCACTCCGTTACTTGGCCTCTTTTGAAGCCTAACTGTATAGCATTAGGAAGAAGGAGGAATGTGAATAGTACCATCCTCAACTTTCAGTAAGAAGAATGTAAATTACTTAAAGCATCTCACCTTAGGTAAGACTAGACAATCTATAGCTTTAAATAAATGATCAGGCATTTCACAGTAATAATTTATTCAACGTTATTTTATTTACTAGATCTGCATGTGCCCTCTAGTTAAAGGTCTGTTATCCAGGCTATTGCAAATGCCACTTTTAGGGTTATATAAAATAACTTAAAGAATCCCTCTGGACTATGCTTTTACTGTTTGCTGTATGAATTATAATACATAGATTTTCTAGTCTATTAAATAAATAAGTAGTTAGAAAAATATGAAGGAATTCTGCTGATTAAATAGCAATTATTCAATAGAGTGGCTACATTTTACACATCTGTAAATGTTCCATAGCCTTACATATAATCTTTAAAAAATGTTATGTATTGATCTACACTCTGTCACCTGGCAATGGGGTAGCAAATTCATACCTCAGTTTAGCAAAGGCTTTTCCTCCAGGCACAGGTGTTAGGGTCTATCTGTATATGAAACATTATATACAGATATATATTGAATGAATGTTGTCAGTCTTTTTTGCAGAAATCAGTAGAATATTTTTTCTCAGTGTTTTATTTTGTGTGGCATTTTAATATTTTATTAAATTGCCTTGCCTTTCCAATATCTGCAACATCATGTGCTAATTTCTTTCTGATAGGGTGTGAGTGTGTTGTTTCAATATTTTTACTTTGGATGGTGTCTTATTTTAAATACTGTACGTAGCATAAGTTTAAGTTGTTGAAGAAGTGTCTTGCTGATTTTGGGAAATGTCCTGCCTGGACTTTTGGCATGTTTCATGGACAGCAATAGGATTGCAACGTGAAGTATGAGAATAAGAGGCTGAGAAGGTTTTAACTTTCCTTAAGAAACTTGTTTGTTAGCAATTAGCTCTTTTGACATTGTTCCAGATTTGAAGTCTTACATTGTTTGAAAATTCTTGTGTCAATGCTGGTACTGAAGACGAGATTGCTTTAAAGGCAGCTCAGCTTGCCCTGGGTACCATATCTGAGACTGATTTGGTTGCTTCAGACTTGTGAGAAGGTTCAACGTCCCAACTTGTAGTATTCCTTTCTATGCTTCCTCTTCGTCTAAGGGAGGGTTGTATCTCCTACTACCTATCAGTTGCACCCATGTTTAAAGGCTGTTTGTGAATTGAGGCTGCTGCACACAGACTGACATGACAGGAGTTTAACCTAGTTCATTGGATGGTTTTTGAGTACACTAATGCCAGACACCTTAATATTCAGTCATTTGTACCGTGAGCTCAGCGTCTAGTTCTGTTCATGAAGAATCCGATTTCTGTGACTGTTTGGCACAGATGTGCTTTCAGTCATGAAGGCAGAAACATTTTTCAGCCAAGTACGTTCTATTCCTGATGACTGAGACAGTGTTGTTGACTTGTCTGCTTTTTTGGGCACCTTTACAGATACTGAGGTCTTAAGTCACTTGTTCACTGATAATTGGTCTATGAATCAAAACATGATGAATTCCTCTTTAATGAAATCTGTAACAGATCCCTTGGCCATGTCCTCAAACAGAAATATGTTAAAATTAGAGGCAAAATGGTGGCTAGTGTATTTTCTAGCACTGGAGAGAATGCTTAATGAACACTTGCTTCTCTCCTATATGCAGTGCCATCATCTGAGAAGCGTAGCAGACCCATAAGGGGGAAAAAACGTCAGGGATTTGCAATAGTCTCACAGCTTTTTTTGTGATCCACTCATCAGTCAGAAGTCTTCTTTGAAGCTGCTTTTCCTTTGCTTTGTTTTCAGTTTGCATTTTGCTTTCATGTGCATCTTATGTTTCAAAATAATATATACTATTATTGTGTTATGGGGCTCCAAAACTGGCAAGGTCCCCTCTTGCTGGCCCCTGTGAGTTGAAGTTCTGTATCTTTTGCAGAAAGCGATCTTTCTCATAATAGTGTTTGTTGCAGGCCCTTTTTACTAATATACTGGAGTTTGTTACATTTTACCCAGAGAAGGTGGAATTGTGTACACATAAAAAGTTTCCTTCTATGGTTTCACTTTAACAAGTTATTAATTTCCCCACTACCCTTATGCCCATCTTGGTGAACCATTGCTCCACCAGCTGGATCTAAAAAGGTCTCTCAGTTTCTGTGTGGAGCAGACAAAGCCCCTTAGAAAGTCCATCCCGTTTTTTGTTTCACTTGACCTAAACACATTAGGTCAGTCTGTGTCCAAAAGAACCATTTCTAATTGGCTATCAGCTTACATGTCTCATTATTGTACTTTAGCAATACTGAAACTTGAGGGGGCATGTCAAAGGTCACTCCTTCAAAGCAATGTCTATGTCAGCAGTCAACCTCAGGTCAGTCTTGCAAAGCTACAGTGTGTGCAGGTTTCCCTCTATATTTACCAAGCTTTATTTCCTTGACATTGTTGCAAAGAGATTTAAGGTTTGGGCTCACTATGTTGCAGACTTTATTTCTCAACTGATTGTACCAACTCTTTCCATCTTCTCTGATTCTCTATAAGATGTCTGCATGCCTTTGTCTTTTCCAAGTCCATTCTTTATGTTTTATGTTCCTATGTTATATACACTACACACACACTCACCAAACCTTGTAACCTAGGTTGCTTGTTCACTTTACTTAGATCAGAACTTAGGTCAAAAAGAAACTGATGTTAGGCAGCAAGTTGTGACATGTATACTCTTTAAGACATAATCAACATTGGCCACACATGGGCCAACTTACCTAACTTAGCTGTGAATTTGTTCCCTTAATACCACTACACCTGAGTTCGTATTTCCATAGATAAATGTTCTGTTATACAGAATTCTATGTAGGTACATAAAATGATATTAAAGGTACAACTTAAATGTACAAAATGCAAGGAAGCTCAGTTTCTAAGGTTGCATTCAGACCTTTCCTCATAGTGTTGTCTTTATACTCACAATGCTAGAGTTAGAGCTATGTTAGCCCTATCTTTCAAATTTCTGGCTTTTGTCTGTACAAGTCAGACACATTTTATTTAACATAGTTGGTATTTAATGTTTGTGTTTGCAGCATTAGTATTTTATGGGATTTCTGCACATAGACTGTGATTAACAAAATACAATGAAATGTTTTATGCTAATTGTTTTATTTTCTGTGCTTTTGTTTTTTGTTCCTAACATCAAAATGCTTAGTCAGCTTTATCCCCTAGTACCTCCTTTCTGCCCCTTACCCTTAATCAGGAATGTTCCTCGCCATGCAATTCACCTTTTCCTACCATACAGGACATTGCTGAGAATGGATGCTCTGCAACACCAGAAGAGTCCCTACCAAGGACAGCTCCTTCTCCGTTGGGTGAAAAGAAGGACCCTAAACTCAGAGAAGATAGAAGACCAATCACAGTACACTTTGGGCAGGTAGGAGATGTTAGATTTGTTTAAATTGTATTTGTTATAGATAGGCAAATTTAATTGAAAGATTGTTTGTTTAAAGATCACTTTAGCCTTTTCATTAATTTTTACAGATCAGTTACATCATTCTGGGTTTATTTTCCATTTCACCTCCACTTTTGGGAGGCTCTTATGTTTAGTGGTTTCAATGGTTTCTTTCATGTATAAGGTATTTTTCTGAGGCAAATGATATTTTAGATGAATTTGCAAGAGTGTGTAGCATTTCTTTACAGCAATGTAATAATAAACTATTCTGTTCCATTAGCGTGCATCGTGCTACATCCCTTTAGTACAACAGGGTACATTTTTAAGGTGTCTTCAGTTATCTAAGCAGATCACTAGTGTTAGCACAGAACATCTAATTATTATTATCACTTCAGCAGACTTCAAAATTTAAAAGCAATGAACTCCAGTGGAAAAAAATCAATTAATAATTCTTTAATCGTGCTCTATATTTCAATATCGACAGTTGAGCTCCAAATATGAGCTATCCTCATTATGTTTCTGACAATGTGTCTACAAAAATAGCTGGTTTTATACTAGCTAATCAAGTAGAAACTGTTATTTCAAATCATTAAAATCAGAATGGAAAAACACGTAGTATTCACAATCAGCTTTCCAGCATAGCTTACATTAACAGTTTTTATTTGTAAAAGATATTTTTGTCACTATATTCAATGTCCTCTGTTATTCCTGATCTTTTTACCTTTTTTATCTATGAGGCTCATTAGAGCACAGAAATGACTATCTGGTTTCTTAAAGGACAAATTTGGAATTAATATGGTTAAAAAACAGTGCATTATCGGAAAATGGAAGCTCTAAAATGACAGGCAAGCCATATTTTAGGTAAACGATAGTAGTAAATAGTAGTAAAGCATATGCCTAGCAAGTTAATATAACTAGATTTCTTACTATTTAGATATGAAATCATGTCTACATATGCATAAGAAGCAATAATTTATTACAGCATCTTATTTTCAGTTTTCCTTTTGATCTTCCTTTTCCTTATCATTTTAGAATTGGATTGCATGTTTTTAGAACTTTGGCTGCTGTGCTCAATGCAGGTTGTTGGAGGTTTTCTCGAACAGATTGCGCCCCAATTAAATTTTTGAAGTGGTGGTTTATTTTTCATTTATTTTCTGCTCTAGTACAGTTGAGGGGGTTTGGGGCTACTGAAGAAATGCAGCCACCTTGATCCACCAGGAAAACATTGCCTTTCATTAGAAACATTCTGAAATCCAGACAAACCCTACATTTTTGTTTTTTGTTTGAGAATCCTTTCTCCCTCCCCCCCCCCCATTTTTTTTTACGTTTGCGTGAACGGTGGATCATCCCAACACTTTGCTGGATTACTAAAGTAGATAATCAAGTGGACAGTGCTTACCCAAAGTCATGTGCGGGGAGGGATATGATCACTTTCAAATTTTTTAAAGATCGCTTTCTCTCTGTCAAAAGAAACATACATCAGCTTTAGTGAACCACTGGCATAGTTGAAAGGCTCACTTGCTAAATGCTTATTACTGTCATTACAATACAAATGTCAGTTTCCAAAAAATTGTGTAACTTGGTAGTTGTAGGGCTATCTTGCTTACAGTCTTTGTTCTTCCACAGATCCTCCTGATCATAGCACCACACAATATAGACAATTAAACAATACTTCCATGCAAGTGGGTGAAAGGTGTTCAGTTGTAGGAAATATAAATTGAGGCTTTGAAAAAACTTTTACTATTTCAATGGTACATGAGCTCTAACTGGTGATTAAAGGGGGAGATTTTAGTGTCACTTTTAACTCCTTGTAAAATAAGTGAGGGGAAAAATCAATTAAAAAGGGATGAAAACTGCTGAAATAAGAGCTATTTGTGCATTCGCAGGCCTTATACACTGGGGAGGATGAAAGAGGCTTTTTTCTTATTGTCACTTGCTTTCCATGTCTGCTAGTATTATGCTAGTGTATGTGGTGAAGGCAGAATTTTTTAAAATGCATGCATGCGGATTAGGGTCAAGCCCTGTGTATCAGTAATGCAGTTGGCTCACCCATACCACTGCAGCGCCAGAGCCTACCAACAGCAGCGATATGCCTTAATTGAGACATGCTGTCAAAGTGACAAACACATTTGCATACAGTCTATTTATTTTCGTTGGAAAGGTCTGCAGTCTGCTGTTGGTTGAACATTCTTAATCAGCTTGCTGTAAGTGAGCCGGCAGCTAGCTGTCCTATGTTGGGTGCTTCTCTTCATTACATGACAGATTAGCTAAAGGGGGATGGGCTAGGAAGCTAGCAGCAACCTTTAATTTTAACTCATTATATCTCATCCTATTTTAAGTTAGTTTCTAGCATTTCTCGTATAGTTTTGTGTCCATACTAGCAGTTATTAAATTGCAAAAACTGTAAGTAAAACATCTTAAGGAGGCTAAATATTAAATGCTCAACTGTTCAGTTCTATTGAGAATTTATCCAGTATTATTATCTAGCATCTTAACTATTAGATTTTGCAGCATAGAGATTTTTAAGATGTCTCATCTTGCTTTGCAATTACTTAATCAGGCATCCCCTTAAGAAGGTGTTTAATTTGGTTAGATAATTAGGTTAAATTGTTGACTTCTGTTCCTATAACTGCCCAGAGATTGAGAGAAGCTCTCCTTGGTGCCCATATGAATGACAAAATTATGTAATGGGTCATTACAGGCTGGGACAATCGCAGCTCCTTTCCTCTCCTTTTATCTTTCATGGCTTTTCTGTTCTGCTTAGGACTGTGGCTGTGATCCTAACCCTAGGGTGACTCAGGTAGAAGACACTACCATCATGCACTAAGAACCTCGACAGCTATCCAACTAATAGTAGGGGCAATGATTGCAAAATCACCGAGTGTTTAGCCAGTGAAGAGAAGGGGGAATAATTTTAAAAAACCATTTGAGGGATCCAGGAGGCTGGATCTTCACCTCATTTCTTTAGATAACTAAGGCTGTCTGTCTGATGCACTGCAGAATACTTCCTCTACCAACGGCTTGCTGGCCTTAATGTTGACAGGGATCATTTTCTTTCCCTTGTTTTAAAGCTTTAGACCAGACTGCATCACACATTCAAATGTTGGTGTCCACCATTGCCACCCTGCCACATTGCTCGCCATGGCTATAAATGGAATCATCCATGAAATGGATGTGTGCCTCAAAATGCCTGTCCTGCACCTAACGTAGACTTTGGGACAGGGTGGATGAGAGCAGCTGTAGCAAATGGCATATAGGGCAGGTTTGCTGACCTAGAAGTTGTAGCTTTTCTTTCCATTCTCTCTCCAGGTAGATGGTACAGGTTTATCCTTTGCCCATATGGAGAATAAACACAATACTACATGGCAAATAGTCTATAAACTCTTGGATTGTTCCTTGTGACTTACATTGTCAGTTCAAATTTGGAGTCTGTAATAGGTGTTGTTCCAGCCTATTCTCCACATGTCTCTTCTATACACACGGCTGTATTGGATGTTTGTCAAGACACAGAACTGGAAGCAGTTGGACCCACTATGACACGGGACGTGATTATTGGTTAGAATGTCTGGGAAGAATTTGAACAAAATCTCAATTTTCTTCTCCCACATTTGAAGCACTCATGCCTGCGAAAATACTGTTTCTCTCTGGGTAGATCATAGATCTAATCTTTTTATGTTCAAAGTAGGGAATAAGGGTGAGTGTCTGACTCTGAACATTCGTAAAGCGTTTTTCAGATTCTGAATTTGTGTTAGTGATGCTTGAGTTGTGAGCTTTTGCTGGAAGTTTCAGCTTCCATCACTAGTCTGTTATTGATGGGGGAGCTGTGGTGATGAGAACACCATATAGAGCCTAATGTTAAACAGCCCCAGGGCTCTACCACTTCACAATTTTCATAATTGATTGCTCAGCAGATAAATTAAAGTCTGGGTTTCAATTCTGATAGATTTCAGAAGTGATGTTATGTGAGGAGCTTTTAATTTCTCCCCACCCTGCACACACACCTATTTATATCATGTTCTGCTACCAGGAAAATTGAGTCACAGCAATAACGCCAGTCACGTTACGAAAAGAGCGCTGCTCTTATTCTTGGTACAGGATTCAACTTGGGGAGGGGGCAGATCTGCTGGGCAAAAATCTTGAACTTTATTCTTTTTCTATTTGCACAGAAGTAGACATTTCTACATCCCATGCAAATATTTGGATAGGTGCCATATTTACAGATCAATATTACTGCCAAAAGACTGGGTGGAGGGAATTATCTTTTCATGTTGTGGTTGAAGAAGGAGAAAACCTGGTAAATGCAGTCTGACTTCCATGATCTTACTTGTGTATGGATCTTGATATGAACTAAGGAATAGATTTCATTCACACTTGGTGGCCCCTATATTCAGACTTTTCTTTTCTTTCATTTATGCAATAGGAACATAAGTGCAAGAAAAACAAAGTTTGACTATATAGGGACCAGTTAGTAGCATGCTGTGAAAGGAAAATTGGTCCTCCCACTTTACAAACTAACTTTATAGAACAACCTGATCCAATGGCAACCCTCCTTCAAAATGTGGATTGGGAAAGTGAGCCCCAGAATTATAGGGACAGCTGCTCCCTCATCCTCTCCAACCACCTCTCCTCAAGTTCCTGAAATGAGATCCATGAGTAGTGTTAATTCTCCTTCCTTAAACCATATCCATAATGCAGTTATGAGCCACTTGGCCTCAGGAATGGGGCCTGGGGAAGAGATTAGATCAAAGAACTTGTTATGTGGGTTACTGTGTTTCTCTCATAACAAAGTTGTTCAAATAGCTCATCTTCTTCTTTCCTTCTCAGCTTGTTTTAAGTTTGTCTGTTGATGGGACATTGATTTGCAAGGATAATGTGAAAGTATCAATCTGCCTGTTTTTGTCCGTACATCATCCCCGGCACATAGTTACCTGAGTGCTTCCTGAGTTCCTCACAACACCACTGTGGGAGGTTAAAAAATTTGT